GGAAGGAGAGGAAGGAGGGGAGGGAAGGAAGGAAGGAAGGAGGGGAAGGAAAGAGGAAAGGAGGGAGGGAAGGAAAGGGAGGGAGGAAGGAAGGAGGGAGGGAGGGGAAGGAGGGAAGGAGGGGAAGGAAGGGGAGGAAGGGAAGGAGGAGAAGGAGTGGAAGGAAAGAGGAAAGGAGGGAGGGAGGAAGGAAGAAAGGGGCAATTTCCTATGGTTTCACAATATCTGCCCTCTCAAGCAGCATCAATGTTGGTTTCTGAGGCATAACACTCTCCTGTTTCTCTTCTACTTCTCTGGCCATTTCTTCCCAGGTTCCCTTCTCTTTCCCCCTCTCCTCTACTGCCCTCTAAATGTGGCGGCAAAGTTCAGGCTCAAAGCTGCTCCTCCTCTCTCCTCACTCTGCACCCTCTCTCTCTAGAAGATCTCATCTGGGCCCACATCTTTATGTACCAACTCCATGTCATCAATTCCCAAATGTCCAATCCTCTAGTCCAGTCTCCTTCTCTGAGCTACACATTTGTACATCGACCTCTCTAACACCTCCATGTGGATGACTTAACATGTCCCAAACTGACCCTCCCCAAATCTTTTACTCTTCCAAGGCCCTCTTCAGTAAATTCATGCCCACGCACCCAGCTGTTCCTGCCACAGTCTGGGAATTATCCTTGACGTCATCCTACCCCTTGCCTTCCCAAATGCAATTAGTCACCAAGCCCTGACCATTCTCTCTCAGCACATCTACTTGTCTCCATCTCTACTCCCACTCTGCTCCATCTCTTGCCTTAACTGCAAGAGCTTCCTAACCCTTCTCCCCACTACCATCTTGCCCCCCAAAACCTATTCTCCACAAAGATCATAATTGTGTGATCTTTACCAAAAATCATGTTTTTCCTGTTTAAAATCTTCCCCCTTCCCTTCAGATAAGTCCAGATTCTTTCTGTGGCCTTTGATTCGAGGCCTTACCCCTGCCTACATCTCTCCAGCCTCACCACGCACCACACCCTCCCCGGATCACTCCCCTCCACCCTTTCTTTCAGTTTGCCAACACTCAAGCTCTCTCATGGTAAAGGCCTTCGTGCAAACTGTTTCCTCGGCCTGGCCAACCTTCCACCTCCACCCCTTCACTTGTCTGACTCCTCACCTTTCAGGTCTCAGTTTAAAATTTCTTTCCTCAAAGGATGCTGCCCCTGACCCTCTAGAACTGGTTTGGTCCCTTCCATCCTACACCCTCATTGCAGACTGCACTCTTCCTTACTTAGAAGGACCTTTCACAGTTACAATTAAATAATTATTTGGGCAATGTTCATGTTTCCTCTAGTTGTTTCCCGAGGGCAGGGACTACACCCCAGGCTTATTCATCAAAGTACACTCCGTATCTCCCGTAAAGTAGACAATCAATAAACAGTTACTCCCCACCTTACAGATGAAAAAACTGAAGCTCAGTGGGTATACTGACTTGCCCAAAGTCACCTGGCTTGACCGTGGTAGTCAAGATTTAAATCCAAGTCGCCTAGTTGAGTGTATATTCTAGGGGCTACTCTGGGGATGGGGGGATAGCAAGACTTCCAAGTGGGTTGAGACAGGGCTACCATCTATAATCACAGTTCCTTGGTCCCCAGTGGTAACAGAGAGTTGCTGTGACAGCACAGGGATCACTTTGGACAGCAGGACTGAGAAGCCCTAGCCTACCAGGGGAATGCCTGCCTCTTGCTCCAGATTCCAGCATGGGCCCTGGGGAGGAGCAGAACTGTTCAGATAAGGCATACTAGATCCCATCATGCAGCTCTCCCAAGAGATCAGCCCCCTACGGAGACCTACATCCACCCTGGGTTACATCAAATCCTGGTTGCTGTCAGTTGCCTAGCAACCTCTGCTGGGACAAAGGCCATGGATGCTGCAAGAAAGCCAGGTTTCTAGGGAAGAAGCTCTCAGGAATGTGTCTGATGCCTCTAGGTTTCTAATCAAGGTCTAGGACCAGGGAGTTGTTACTGGGACACTCCTCACTGTGCCCAAAGAAAAAGTCTTCCTCCCCTGAGCTTTTGCTCTAGCTTGTCTCCTAAAGGAACATCCTCCTTCCTCCTGTTCTTGGGCTGCCCAAACTGTACCCACCCTTCAAAGCTTGCCACTTCTTACTTTCACCCTTCTCCATCCCCCTAGCCTTCCTCAGCATTTCTTTCCTGCCCAGAGGCTTCTCCTCCACAGTTCCGGAGTCAGGGAATCTGCGGCCTGAGCAGCCAGCCTTCTGCAGGGTTAAAACATGATTTCCAAGAGACTTTTCAAATTCTGGATGTAGCCCACAGAACTCCATTACTTCCTGGGGAATCCAAGTCAGGGCTCACTGGTTAGTGGCACCCATAAAATGTGACTGTTGTCCCGTCATGAGTCCTGTTTAAACACCTCTGATGACGGTAATAATAGTTAGCATTTACCGACTGCTTACAATGTGCCAGAGATTGTTCCATACACTTTACATGTATTAACTTACCTAATCCTCACAATAACCCTAAAATATAGATACTAATATTATCATATTATCCCATTTTTACCTAAAAGGAAATGGAGGCACTGAGAGGTTAACTAACTTGCCCAAGGTCACAAAGCAGGTTAATGGCAGATTTACACTCAGGCAGTCTGGCTCCAGAACCCTTACTGTTAACCACTACACTACACCACCTCTCATGATGCAAACGGTGTGGCTCCAGCTTATATTCTGATCCTCCTCTCTTGCATGGCTGGCCCTTTTGCCTAACTGAGAATCTTTGCTCACACCATTCTCCCTACTCAGAACGTCTTTCCTTTTGCCTCTCATTCTGCAGGACTCACTTCTTTCCTGCAGCCAACTCTGACTGTCCCATCCTCACTGCCCCCAGCGGGACTGAGAGCGTCCTCAGGATCAAGCACAGGCCTGGACTCTCCAGATGCTTGATACAGATTCTCTGGACCAATTTAAGGGAGACTCGGGTTAAGAGTACCATGCTGTTCCCTTGGGGTGGGGAGGTGCTCAAGGTGGAGGGAGGGCAGAAGGCCATGTGGGAGGAGTCCTGGGGCACTCAGAGGATCTAGCATGGAGGTCTTCACTGCTTCTCCTAGCCCCTGTGAAACCCGGCTCCTGGGGCCCTAGTCCCATAACGCAGGTTCCAGAGGACATCATTGTCCCCTGACCCCCAAGTCAGGTCTTAGAAGCGCCAAGGACACTGAGGGGTACAAGGGATTCAGGCATCCAAAGTCAGGCGGGAGCACAAACTGCGGGGGGAGGGAACACAGGAAGTGGCACCGCGATGATGGCGGACCCCTGAAGCAGAAGCTCCCTAAACAAGCTAGCGGGGTACCCGTAAGGGGCCAGAACAGGGGACCCGAGGGCACGGGGATGCGGCTGCGGCCCTAGGGGACACATGACGAGGGAGGCCTCAGCAAGCTGGGATGTGCCTTGATACAGGCCACGGCGAGAATCAGAAAAGGGGGTCCGGCGGGCCCCGGGGGGTACCGTGGGGGAACACACAGGACGGGTACCCTGGGTCAGCGCTCTCCGCGACTCTCCTAGCCCTGGGTCGGGGGCTGGAGGGGGAATCACCTGCTCCGTCGGGCGCCACCGGCGACTTGTCCCGCGCGGTGCAGCTCTCATCCCCCAGCCCCACCAACGAGATCAAAGGCGGAGCCCAGAGCGGTTGCCTTCCAGAAGCGCAGCGGTAGCCATTTTTGAGAAGGGCAGTTGCCCACAACTGGGCGGGGCTCCTGCTCCCACTCTCGTTTGTCTCCGGGTTTTGGACGGGCTCTCGCGGCGGCCATTTTTGTTGCGTATAGGGAGGAGTTAGGCGTGGAGGTCCTGCAAGTGGGGGGAGTCGCAGTGGCTGAGTGCATCCCCGCCTATTTCCTTGTCATCTGCGCGGGACTGAGAACCTTTCAACCCCAGTGTCTTCCCGTCCGCCTTATTTCCTCACCCCAGAATCTCCGCCCTCAAATCCTGTAGCTTTCTCCCCGTCTCCTTGTGTCTCCAGTCGTTCCACAGACCCATGGCTCCCTGGTTGGATCTGGTGGACCCAGGCCTGGTGTTCTCCAAATCCCAGTGTGTTTTCCCCTTCGTTTCCAGTCCAGGTTCAAGCCCAGTCACCCAATCAACTCTTAGGTGCTGACTTTCCCACCCTGTCTGTCCCCTTTGCATTCCCTTAACAGCGATATCTCAAGATCAAGGTGGGTTACAGGGTCTGGGTCTTGGGACCATGGAGCCTGGTTTGATTGGGGGAAGGGCAGCAGGTGATCTGGGTGAGGCTTGACTTGAGCCCAGATCCAGGATGGCCTGCAGGTCGTGCCTACCCCAGTGCCTTGACGCCCATGTTGGCAGGGCTTCTCATTTAAAACAGGACAGCTGAACTCCAGGACCTAGCAGGCCTCAGCTTCCTCTTTTCTGTTCCTGCTGCCTCAGCTTCCTGGTGCTACCCTGTGGGGAAACCCACAGCTATCCCTTCCCAGGAACCCCACAATGGGTCATGAGGGAAAGAGTTCCCTTAAAGGATGAGCTAGCTCATCCCCAATCAGCAGGGATGAATCTCTTTTCAGGACTAGTCCTCTTGTAGGGTGCTGGGGACCCAGAGACTGTCCCTGCCCCCAGGAGCTCACAGTCCGAGGTAGAAAGTCCCATCCTCTCCACTAAGGACTGAGGCAGTGCCAACATATGGAGAAAAGGGGATCCCTGCTCCCTCCTCCAGCCCTGTCCCTCACTGCAGGCTCCCATATCCCCACTAGGGTTCTCTGGCCTCTAAAAGAGAAAGACGTTGGCTGCTGTGGAGAGGAGGCAGGAAAGGGGAGGGAGGAAGTAAGGAGTACATTTGGCGTCGCTTCTCCCATAAAAACACTGCTGCTGCCAGCCTGGCGCTGCTGGGGTTAATGAGGGGTGGGGTGACAGCCACTTTGAACTCTGGCCAGACAGGCCCCTGGGAAGGGGGTGATGGGTAGGTCAGTCAGCCCCAGGCCTCTGCCAGCCCTCTAAAGACGTGGCCACCGTCCCTACCCTCTCCGACCCCCCACCCCCCAACCCCTGCCCCAAGTCCCCCATCCTCCTCCCCCTCCATTGCACAATACTGATGACTCTTCTCTCCCTACCACCCTCATATGGGAACTTTCAAGTTTCCTCACTAGAGCTGTCCCTAGTCCTGGCCCAAGACCCCTGCAGCCATCCCTGTCGCTGTGCCTTTCCCCCCTCCCCCACTGCCTGTTTCTTGGATGGCAGTTGGATGTAGCTATCTAGATAACATTATCGGAACGAACTTCCTGAGTTTTTGGGGAGGGATGATGGGAAAGAACTCTTAGGGGGAGGCCCTCAACTCCTAGCTCAAACTCCGGAGGGTCCCAACTCTGTGCAGCAGGGGTCAGGTTCTGGGGTCAGAGGACAGAGGGTGGGCTAAGGAGAGGGACCACCACAGACACAAGGACACACGCAGACTGTAAGGCAGGGGCTCCAGGGAACACTTGTCCTGCTCGGCATTCCGCAGCTGGCTGGACCTTAAGCCCTTGATTTTCTGTCCCCTTGGGTCTCAGTCTCTCCCTCCCCAAGACAGGAGCAGACTCCACCTGCCCTTTGGGTGCTGCTTGAAGCCACACCTTGAAGCCACACGGGGTGAAAGGAAGTGAGTGGTGTCCCCTCTCCATCCCCTCAAATGAAGTTTGCAGCTGGTGTTTGGGAGGTGGGGTCTCCTCACCTGATGGGAAAAGCTAGAAGCCTGTGCTGAGGCTTCCCCTCCCACACCAATGCCCCATCATCCAACCTCAGAGTGAGAAATTAGGCTTGAATTAGGCCTAAAGGTCAAGTTTCCCAGATATTAAGAGCAGAGAAAGAACCCAGCTGGCTGATTTCAAGGGGTGGGAGGGACTCAGTCAAAGACTGAGGTGAGGAAGGGGACACTTCGAAGGATGGGGGCGGCTAGAAGGGGGTCCCCGCTCTTGCTTGAGGTCAGAAAGGGCTCTCTGGGCAGGGTGCCCGGCCCTCCCACACCTTCCTCCTTTCTCAGAATAACCAGGATGGGGCGGGGGTGGGAGTTGGATGGGGCGGAGTGGGGGCCCTATTTAAGGAGCACTCTCGGAGAGCATCACTGCAGATCCAGCCCAGGAGAGAGAGAGGAGGCTTCATGGGTAAGTGCAGGCCCCTTTCTCTCAACTCGAGCAGGGTGGGGTTAGGGTGGCTCCTGAGCCTGCCAGCTTGCCTTTCCCTCTCCAGGGGTAGGCTGCAGCTCTGCCTTGTGAGTGGGAATAGCACCCCAGCCCTCAGTTTAACTCTCCAGAAAGTGAAAGTGCGTTTCAGGAAATCTTTCTCTTCCACTGCCTTGCCTATCCCAGGTACTTCAGCTCTTCCCTTCAGGTGTGGAGATTTTCAGGGAGCTGGGATTCCTGGGCTCCTATGTTGGGGATCCACATTTTGGGGGTCCCCTTTGGTTCAGGAAGCCCCTCAGTCTCTAGAGAGATGCCCTTCTCAGTGCATATGTTCTGGCTCTTCCTCCAGTCCTTTTCCCCTCCAGCTCCACATCTAGCCCCACCAGGAGCACATCTGGGCAGGAGGTGATGGGACTGACTCTGAAGTACCCATGGAATTCCTACCACAGCCCTGAGCCTACTCCCCTCATATCCTACATCAGTTCCTCTTGGAATTTAGAGAACCCTTGCCCCTTTCTCTAGCTATGGGGCCCTATTTTCAGCTCCAGGCTCAGGCCCTGCCTGGGATAGGAGGAATCTTGAAATCTCAGGGTCCTCATCTGACTCGTCCTGGGAATGGAGGAAATTCACAGAAGAGAGCATGAGAGGGCAGCATCAAGGCTGAGAGAACTTCAGCCACCTGGCTCTGAGAACTGAATTCCATAGGCTGTGAGCTCTAGCAAATGCCCTAGGGACTCAGTTCTGGTGCCCGGCTGTGCTACACCGTCCATACCAAGGCCACGGGGAAGCTGCTGGCTCAGGTTCATAGCGTCCCAGTGAGGTGCTCCTCCAGGCACCCATCCTGCCACTGGCCAGATCTTTTAATAACTTCAATTTGGGCTACTCTTCTGCTGAAAGACTTCAGTGGCTCCCCAGAACTCCTTACCTTGCCATTAAAGTCTTTCATAGTATGGCCTCCACTTAGCTTTCAAGCCTGATCTTCCATTGCTCCCTGGTCATAACCTGCCCTCCATGCTTTTACTCATGCTGATCTCTCCTCAGTTCCTCTGGGGACACCTCTTTCCCTCTCTGTGGAATCCTATACATCCTTCAAAGCCTCTCTCAGATGCCTCTTCCAAGAAGCCTCTCTCAACTCCCCAGTGGTGCATACAATCTTCTGCAAATCCTCCACACTCCTCTCCAATGGGGCTCGACTCATGAGCCCCATGGTGTCTACTCCAGTGTTCTGCACCTAGTAGCTGTTCAATAAATGTTCCTTGCATTTTGTTGAGTGTGTCTCATGTATGATGAGGCACTTTGGCCTACAGGTTAAAGCTACAGCTATTATTATTATTATTATTAATTATATCGACATACAGTGAGTTGATAGTTTCTGTACAGAGCTTTAGCACAGTGCCTGCACCTAGTAAGTTCTCAGTTAAGTGTGTGAGGTTGTTATAATTCTTATTATCCTCCCTTAAGTAGAATGTGAGCTACCCAGTTGGGAGGTAGGATAGGGCTTAAAATTGGTCAGTCAGGGTTTATTGAGTGAAGGGCTTCAGATCAGATGCCAGGGTTGGGTAAGGCTGGGGTGAGGCCAGGAGGAGGAGGCCATCAGGATCGTGGCCCAAGCCTTGGGTGTGGTGGCCCAAGCCTTGCTGGGATCTAGGAGCTCTGGATTGCCACCTACTGTGTGACCTTGGGTGAGTCACTCCTTGCTGGCTCTGGTTTCCCAGCATAATGTAAATTGAGGGGGTTGGGCCAAGTGAACAGCAAGGTCCCCGGCAGCCTAGATGTTTTATGAGTTCTAAGCTTCTAAGGGTTAAGTTCAAAGGAAAGATCAAAGAAGGAAGCATCTCAGCTCCCTGCAGGGTTCCCTTATACCCACAGGGCCTGGAGAGCAAGCTCTGGGGTTGGAAGTACCCGTGTGGCATGCTGGACTGAGCTGAGTGACAGCACCTCCTTCAAAAAACCTGTAATCAGGGGCCCTCCTCCCTCATGGGGGCTGGGGGATAGGGGTAAACTTGTATGCAACCTATGAACATTTCCAGGGCATAAGTGGAAGCCTCAGGGAAGAATGTCTGTAAGCAATGCAGAAGTTGCTCAGAGATGGGGGAAGTTGAGAGACTTCAAGGGTCTGGACTCAGAGGATAGAGAGGGAAGGGGATATTGAACGCACTTTATTTGGTATGAGACTCATGATTTACTTGAGACCGGCCTTGTTTCCAAAAAGGATTTGAGGAGGCTTACCAGCATGCAGACAATTCTCCAAGATGAAAACATAAAATCTGTGACATAGATATGTAGTACATTTAAAATGTGTATCCTTTTTGACCCAGAGATTCAGTTTACTTATTGTTACTATTTTTATTTTTAGTTAGAAATTATTTCAAAATTGCAGAAAAGTTGCCAGAATAGTACAAAGAATTCTTGCTTACCCTTCTACCAGATTCACCAACTGTTACCCTTTTGCCATGTTGCTTTCTCTAATCTATAGCCCTTATTCAAATCTTGCTAACTGTCCCAATAATGTAATTCATAATGATTTTCATTCTGGTCCAGGATCCAAAACAGGATCTTGCATTGCATTTAGTTTTCATGTCTCTTTAGTCTCCTTTGACCTGAAACATCTTCTCAGACGTCCTTTGTCTTTTACGACATTGACATTTTGAACAATAAAGACCAGTGCGGGGCCGGCCCTGTGGTGCAAGTGGTTAAGTGCGCATGCTCCACTGCTGCGGCCCGGGGTTCGCCGGTTCGGATCCCAGGTGTGCACCGACGCACCTCTTGGCAAGCCATGCTGTCGCGGCGTCCCATATAAAGTTGAGGAAGATGGGCATGAATGTTAGCCCAGGGCTAGTCTTCCTTGGCAAAATAGAGGAGGATTAGCAGATGTTAGCTCAGGGCTGATCTTCCTCACAAAAAAAAAAGACAAGTGGGGTTGTCTCTCAATTTAGGTTTGTCTGATGTTTCCTCACAATTATACATTACTGCTGAATTGATGTTGTGTTTTCTCAGTTTAACATATCAGAAAGTACATGATGTCAATCTGTCTCTGTTAAAGAAAAAATTTTCAAGACACTTGATAAATATGGTAAGAAAGACTCTATTCAAGAAAGACTGCTGCTGGGCCGGCCCTGTGGCTTGGTGGTTAAGTGCGCGCGCTGCGATGCTGGTGGCCCGGGTTCGGATCCCGGGTGCGCATCGAGGCACCACTTC